TCCAGCCATTATTAACCATTCTTTGTTGGTTTGCTTAGTATTAGGTGTTTGTAATACATAGAGTGAATTAATTAGATTTAATGGTGAAAGGTGCTTATGTCTATGTTAAACACGTATTCAGTAGCGTGCAAAATGCCTCCGCAACCCCCGCAACGCGAGAGGGGGGGGGAGGCGAGCTCCAAATTCTTTCTACTTATCCAGGTACATCCGGCACTTGTCAGAGGCCCGCAGAATTTTGAAAACACAAGAAGGATGGCAGGGAAGCCAGGAATATTTCGTAATTCGCACTTTGGAGCTTACACAACCCCGCAATAACTTTGTTATACGGCCCTACCATACTGACTACTGGGTATAACAGACCTGTTGTCGCTTTTGCTTCAGAAAAAAGGAAACGAATCCTTTGCGCAGAGCCGTTGTGAAGGCAACGAACGAGAGGGCGAGTCTATTTTAAAATGGTACAAAAGATATCAGGGTAGAACCCAGGGCTGACCCGCTCGGCCCTAAATTCATTTTTTTCCAAAACGTCCTGAGGGGACCCGAAACATGATTTTCGCGGGGAGGCCCGCCATTTTGCGCTACGCCTCTGAATGTAGGATGAAGTTTTCTAGTGTGCTTAATAAAGCATTTTTATTTAATTGTTCTCTAAAATATTGTCTTCATCTATCTAGAAGTCTGTCTCACAATTGTGTAAAAATGTTGTGTTTGTTTTTCTTGAAACGCTGTACGCGTTAGTGATTATCGTGTTTTGAATTTTATGTAGTTTTGTTATGAATGACTTTGCCACATTCAACCATGCCGGGCAAGTAGACTCTACCAATGGACGAATATACGTTTTATAGATTTTAATATGTTTTCTGTTGTTGCGCCCCTGGTGTTGCCATTCAGATATCGAATATGGTTGGCTCTTTACAATGTTTTATAACTTAATTTATGTGCTTAATCCAGTTTAATTTTGAATCATAACTAAGACCCAAAAGGTTAGCTGATTTGGCTACCGGGAGAAGTTTTCCTGTAGGTATAGTTTAAGGAGCTGTTTACTTGTTTTAATACATTTTGTGATTACTACTATTTTTGTTTGTGTAGCATTAATTTTTATTCTCCGTGTGTTACTTGTAAGTTAGTGGTTGCTATAGCCAGAGTGTTGGAACTTTTCTATATAGCCACATCATCTGCGGACAAGGCGAGGAAACAAGAATTATGGTCTATTAGGGGCATTTCACTCACATAAACGATAAATATTATAGGGCTAACTGCCCCTCCTTGCGAGACCCTTGCCTCCGGGCTAAAATATTCAGGGTAGGCCTAAGTGCATAAAATGTTTGATGAAAGAAACAATTTCAATTCTAAATATAAATAATTTCTGAATTAAACTGTTTTTGTGTTATATCACCGAAGTTATCAAAACATAAAGAATAAGAAAAAAACAGCAAACATTTCTAACAAATCAACATGTATGTTAAGCATTCTGTACAAACACCGTAGTTGACTTAACAACATTACAGTTGGATGTTTTGTTGTTAAGCAACAATATAAATTGTAGATTATTACCAAAAAAGGAGTGTGACACGAAGGCAGAAACTGCTTGTTATGTATATTAATTATTCTCATACAAACATTGTTCTCAGAACAATTCTGATGAGATGCAGATAATTAATGCTTCTAAGCGAGTTAACGTTTTGTTGCGTCAGCGAGTCCCCTCTTTTATATACCCGACTACCCTATATCTAGTAAATACTAGAGCATTCGCCAAAGTACAGGATAGTTCTAGAAACGTGGCGTCACAGTAGTCATGTCTTTCCGTAACTTCGTTCCGACGAAACTTTAGCGACACAAGTTCTTTACTTAATAAAACTGGTTTATTCTTTCCGAATACAACTTTACGATACACTTATTTTCAACAATCGCGCTAAAACAAACGCTATATCAACGAACGTCAATAATACTTCTGACTGCAGTTCAATTACTCACTATCTTCACACACACATTACATTACATTCCCCTTTCACGTTGTCATTAATTCTGAATTTTGATCTCATTATAATGTTGTTGTTTTTTTTGTACACACATATATATATATATATAATTTTCACCTTCTTTTCTTTCGTGAAAGATATTTAATTCTATTCTATTCAATCCGTGGAAAAAGTACTTTGGTGAGGTGAAACAATTTTTTTGTTGGTAGAAAAAACTGTTACGTCTCCGTTTGTTAATTAATTTCCATTACCAGTCCTTGTTGTCATCCTTAAGCTATAATGGATAACGTCTGTGGCCATAGCACCCAAACGCATTGGAGATATTCCATCCATCAGACAAAATTCAAACACTCATGTCAAACTTGTCAACAACTAAGGAGAATCATATAAGGGTTGGGAGTTAAGGGCTTGAACCCACAATGTCTCAACTCCTACTGCCTTTTGGCGTCTGCAGCTAGTTGTAGAAAGCAAGTATGGAGTATTCGTATTCGAATGCATTCGAATACAGTTTTGGGAGTATTCATACTTGTATTCGAATACTTTATCAGGGAAAATTAATATATTCGTATTTGAATTCAATGGCATAGTATTCGTATTTACTGAATGATTTAGATAATACTTAATCTTGTTAGAGTAGATGATAACTTTCGTACTCATCAAATTTCTAGTCTGTCATTATTACATCTGCAGCACATTGAATTCTCTTTCAGTACAAGCTTCGTTCCCACGGGAAATTTTACCGTGGTAACATAGTTTGTTCTTATAGAAAAATTAACACTTTTTTTCTGTACAACAATGTAATATAATAAGTCATTTAATAGATGTAAACTTTGGCTTTCTGTTGGTTATAAATTAAACTATATTCATCATTTTTATTTATTATTATGTTTTATTATTTTTATTATAAAATATATTCTATGTTATGGAACTGAAATACGGTTTTATATTTCTAGTATAATTATGAGGCAGAGCTTCAGAAGTCTACATCTGGCTCTGGTAATTCCGCCCACGTGCACCAGCCTACAATAACAGTGTACTGTACAGAATCAACTAAAGATAAGTCTATACAACCTAGTCTGAAGCACATCACTAACAAACTCGTCAATTATATTGCCGGAACACTGCAACCGTTCTCAGTGGTGGAGTCAAACGATTTTCAATATCTAATGGCAGCTATGGATTATCGTTATATTCTTCCCAATCGCAAGCAGCTGTTCACAGTGTTGATCAAGAGTATGTTTGATGAAGTCGAATAAAAAGTCATATCTCTACTGCAACTTGTACCCAACATCAATGTCACTGTGGATATTTGGAGTAGCAGATGAATGTACAGCTTTCTTGGAGAAACTGGTCATTTTATACTTGACTGAAAATTGTAAACAGTCATGCTAGCATGTCGGCGATT